CCCTACAAATGTTATCTTCATACATTTAATCACTGTGTATCTTTACAGCACACAAAATGATTCCCCAGCATTAATACCCTCTACACTGCATATTAGTCCAGTCAAAGATAATATCACTCACATACTCTCATCAGGTAATGTTCTGTTTTTGTGTCCATTAAACGCTTTACTTTTTCTTCCCCCGATTCCCTCCCTCCCGCCTACCCCCTTCCCCACCCTCCTCCCACTCTGACTCCAGTACCCACAGCTGCTCTCCAAGCTCTGGTACCTTCCAGGCTCTGCGTGCACCACACATAGCAGACGTTTGGTGTGTACCGGGTGGGGACACGCAGCCTCTCTCACAGTGTGGCTGGCTTTGTCACCAGGCTCTAACTTCAGTATCTTCAGCGTCATGTAATAAGGGGCAGGAGGGCCCCTGCCAACCTTCCCTCCCTTTCTTCGAGGTCTGGGGATGACTGAGGAGAAGGTCCCAGGGCTCCTCTCTCCTGACTGACGGTGTTGGCCAAATAAAAGCAGCAGGAAGTGGATTACTGCGGGAAGCCCCTTGGCTCCTGGCTCAGCTTAACATCTCATCAGCCAAAATCAGACCAGGGTGGGGGAGACTCCAGACTGGTCCTCACCCACCCCACACCTGCTTGGCTTGCCTTCTGCCAGCTAGGGGCCAGTCAGCTTGGTGGGTTTGAGAGCCCGGGGCCTCCGTCAGGAAAACGACACTGGGAATGACAGGGACAGCAACCCCTCCCCAGCACTCTCTCTCTCCCCGAGGAGTCTTTCGCCAGCCAAGGATGTGTTACTTTTCTCAAGTTCTACGTACTAGACTACCTCAATACTTGGCTTCGATTCCTGAAAGGTGAAAACTACTGAACGGCAGCGAGATTCTGGGAGCAGCGCTGGTAACAACGAGAATACATGGCCCTGTAACTCACTGGGCAAAGTCTGGGGGAAATTCTGGAAGGCTCACTTCCTGAGCTGCTGTACTGATGTTATGAGATGGCATAAATTAAACTCAATTCCCTCCCCTGTCAGGATCACTCACTAAGAGGAAGTTACATGCTGGAACTTGTCCCAAATGCTGAGTAGGTATTATCCACTGCCAGCAGCCAGTGACCAAATGCATGCTGGTGTCAGGAGTGGGCTGTCCTGGATAGGGGGAGGGTGGGAATGACTGGAGGGTGGGAGGAAATATTTATCTTCTCTTCTTGGTATCCACAGATCTGCTTCCAGAAACCACTCAAGTGCCATGAACTTAGGGGTACTTTTGACTGAACTGCGGAGACAGTCATATGGCGAGAGGAGTCCAGGCTGCTGGGAGGAGGAATGTTCTTAACGTCAATGGTAAGCAGAGTTTTAAAGCACAAGGAGATTTACAGCCTCGCTGTGTCCAGGCCAGCCTCAACACCCTCCAGACCATTTGTGAGAAACCAACTGAGGCCTCCCCAGGGAGGACCAAAGAGATGACATCCAGAAGGGAGGAAAAGATTCAGTACACACACCAATCAGCTGAGCTATGACACGGATATTACCACCCAGGGTATTACGTAATTCTTCTTTCCTGATTTAAAGAAAGCTATATATATATATATTTTTTTTTTTTTCTTTTCTATTTTTTGGAGAGGTTTCTGCTATAGGGATGCATGTGCTCACCAGACAGACAGAGAGAGACAGAGAGACAGAAAGTGAGAAATCACCCCCCAGGGGGGATGGCCACGCCTCAATCCTTTGTCCTCCATTCTCCTCTAGGGATCTTGGGCGCACATGCACATGCGCCTGGTGTGAGTTTAAGCCTATTTTTTGGAGAGGTTTCTGCTATAGGGATGCATGTGCTCACCAGACAGACAGAGAGAGACAGAGAGACAGAAAGTGAGAAATCACCCCCCAGGGGGGATGGCCACGCCTCAATCCTTTGTCCTCCATTCTCCTCTAGGGATCTTGGGCGCACATGCACATGCGCCTGGTTTAAGCCACCGGCTCGTCTGGGACTCGAACCGTGGTCGACTACGTAGGAGTCCAGCAACATAGCCATTACACTAACTGCTGGTCCCAAGAAAGCTATATATTAAAATCAAATTTACTAGCTG